TTCAGAACATAATGTCAAATCGAAATCGTTTCGGAGCTACAGAGATTTTAAAAAAAATTGGCGAAATTTTAACACATCTAAGTTTTATTGCATATAACTTTCGTTCTAATAAAAATAGAAGTTGTTATACAAAAAAGTCATGATTTTCATATACACTCGTACACTTACTTTTGCCATTGTTAAATTTATTAGTATGTATTATTGGTCGTCACTCAAAAGTTAGAGCAAAATGCAGCTCTTTGACATTGCTAAAAATCTGCGTGCAATGCTGATTAGTTATCAAAAAATATGGTCACTCAAAAATGGCAACCCTTAAACTCTAAACACTTTTAAATATTGTGTTTTCATTTTTTAATTAAATGCAACATCGTTTTCTACGATACATTCTTTAAATATAGACCTAAAAAATTAGAGAGTCTAAACTCATAATCATTTATATGTCATTTTGTGCAGAATTAGAATGTTGGCAAGTCAAATTATACAGAAAATAATTCAGGGATATGAAGTTACGAGTAAGAGGCTTTGTATGATCTAATGAAAATTTTATAAGAGTAGAGTATATCAAAATTCGCGAATTTTGTTTGATGGGAAAAATAGAATTCCATCCAATTGTCATCAAAAAAAATCGATGAACAATGTTTGATTTGCAAGAGCCGTCAACGCAAACATCTTGTCATTTTTAATTTTTTTTACCCCGAACACATTTCACACAGAACCTTCTATGTTATTCTAATTATGGAAATTTTGTAAAATGAATTTTCTTTAACAAAGTTTTAGAAATATTTGCACATACAATAAAGAAACAGAACTGATCTCCGTATACATTGATTCCAACTTATATAAATTAAGAATTTAAATTATTTTTCCATTGTTAAAGAGATTTTTTCTTGTTTTTATTTTGTTTGCAAATTATAAAAGAAAATACGCGTAATTTTCATTTAGAATTTCAAAAAACAACAAACAAACATTGAAATAAGCTTAGCATACATACAACAACAACAACTTTAGAAATTCAATATTGTGTAGGTGTGTAAAATCTCTATTGAAAGCACACAAATACTTTTGACTTTTTTAAAAATTTTAATTCTAGTACTGATGGTATGTATGTAGGTATATAAGACAAATGTTATGTAATCAGAAGCTTTAATAAAAATTGAACATTGTTTAAAACGATCTGTTTATAAAAATACCATAATAGAAACAAAAATAAAAGCAAAATCAAAACAAAACATAATGACAGTCCAACATAAAATAAACAATTGTTCAAGTTCATTGAACATTCTATTGCCTATGTATACATACATACATACATATGTACATGGGTTTGTGCAAAAATACAAAAAAAAAAGGAATTAAAACATTGAAACATAAAAACAAAACTAACTGATGTGGTCAGCACATACCTGAACAAAAAATATATTTTGTGGTTTGGCGAAAATATTGCACAAGATCTTTCAAATTTAATGGGACCTTCAAATTAATCACCTATAGGAAAATGTAAATATGGTTCTGAGTAGAAGTTAACTTTCTGATATTTGATTCCCTTGAAAATTTTGTTCCGGTATTAAACAGAACTTAAAAATTAAATTTCAAAAAATTTTGTCCATTAATGTGAAAGTTCGGTTTTCAAGCTCAAAAAGAAAGTTTTTATTGTTTTAACAATCACAATTAATATATTAAATCTTAACCAAATAAATTTATGGACTGAAATATAAAGTTGTATAGTAAGAACCTTGTTACTGGCATTTCAAAAACCTGGCTGGATTTTTGTGTCGTCAGATGGGTCTTATAAAATCGTTCCGGAGTAATTCATAATTAGTGATATTTCCAATTGAAATACAGTTATAAATATTTATTAACATCGATTCTTGCGAAGTTGAGATACATGTTGAACCAGTAGACCACCATCTTGCTAAATTTCTTTTGTGCTTTACAAATGCAATTCTATTGAAAATACGACATGTGAAAATTTACCCCACCCGATAGCTTTCCTTTTTACATTCAATTCGGTTGGTAATGAAATGGACAAAAAGAAAAAATTTTATTTTCAAATTGAACCGCTCATTATTCAATCTAATTTCAAAATCGTCTCTCTCTCTACACTTCTTATCATTTTTATAACATCTTAAGAATGTTTTGCATGCGACATCTCGTTATTCTATCTAGAATTGTCACGTGAAATAGAAAAATGGGGAAATAGGAAAATTCAAATTGAAATCGAATGCAACCTAAACACTATTTTTCTGTTTTTTAATTAAAACGCTTTACATAGCCATTTTTGAAATTATTTGATAAATAAAAAAAAATATTATTATTAATTTGTACCGCGAACGTTTTCATTATGTTTTTGTAAAGCAGTGCAATGCAAACACCTTGCCTACGTAAAAAAAAAATTGTTTGTTTTTTATTTGTTACAATTAATTTTCATATAAGAGCAATGAGGGTTTTCTTATTACGAAAAATTAGCAAAAACTTTAGAGAAATTATTGAAATTTGTTTATTAGATTTTTCTGTTAATTTTTTAATTAAAGATAATGATTTCTTTGCTTTGTTTTTTTTTTGATTGAGCTCATAAACAACCATTTCGTACTTCATTGTACAAGGTGGCCCAAAAATATTTTTTATGACTTGAAATTCTTTATGAAATAATTTTATTTTTAATACAAATTATTTGATTTTCAGACATAAACCTAGAAGAATTGAAAGATCACAATACGGGAAATCAAATTAATAAAGTAGTTTTACAGGCTTCCTTAAGTATAAAATTTTAAATATCGCATGCGTACTCCTAAAACACAGTCAGTCAATATAAGCAAAAATTTATTCCAGAAAATGGGTAAAATTAGAAATGTAATTTTTGTTTTAGAAATGCTTTACTAATCTTTATTTTCAGAAAATAGACGCTAAAACGAATCCCAAAGCTGAACTATTAAAAACTTCTCGAATTTAACCTTCTTCAAGATCTTCAAGACGAATGCTCTATCAACTGAACTTAAACTATTATCTCCAAAATATTATATACACTTGTACCTATAAAAAATTTAAATTACTTTCGTCTAATTTGGTTTTACTTTTTTCACTAAAACTTACGTAGAAATTGTGCTCTTCATATATTATAATTCTGATGAAGAAAAGTACAATTTTCGATGTTAGTTAGTATAGGTGTGTAAATTCTCAGTTGAACTTTGAATGGTACTTTGATCCTCAATAAAATTGGGTAACCAATTTCTAATTTTACACTAAAAATTCACTAGTTTTATACTTTATTAAATTGAAAAACGTGACACCCTGTATATGGCATAAAATCATATACATATATTATGTACTCATTCCACGCACACGTACGTTGTTTATGCAAATAAATAAATCTGATTAAAAACAAATTATTTGATTTATTTTATATAACAATAAATTATTATAATTAAATTTTATTTTATTATTATTTAAATATTTTCCATTGTTTCTATTAATTTTTATTACTTCCACCATTAAATTTGAAGAAATGAAGGTATAGAAATACTACAAAAAGACGGAAAGTATTTTGTTTGATTTTGGATTTTATATTGCATTTGCTTCGTATTAGCTTGAGTCTAAGTTAAACATAATTCAGGCTGAATTTGACTTGAGCTCTATAACTATGGTATATAAACGTCAATATGAGCTTAAAATGTAACAGAATTGTACATATGAATGTCAAATAATGAAAAAGAACTTTAATCTTCTTAAAAGGTTCTTCATCATTGGGGAAATATTTTTCGTTAAACTTGTTTAAGATTCTACTAACATAAGAAATAAGTTTATCCTTTCACCCTGTTCTAAAGGATTGCGACAAATTTGCTTCTTTAACGACATTTATTCAAGGCGGTGTCACAAAATTTTATTCGAAATAAATTTAATTTTTTTTTCAAAATTAATGAAATTAATAATACAACAATAACTATCAACATTTCTTAACTGGATCAACTCCATGTTGTTTGTTATAATTTAAATTGTTGAGCATTAAAAAAAAATTATGCGAAATTTCAAAATATGAAAACAATATTAACCATAAAAAGGAATTTATTTCTGCTCTACTATAATTAAAATGTCAAAAATAAAAATGCAAGTTTGTACCGCAATTTCTTCTATATTAATGAAAAATACTAATTAATTATAATAATCAAGATATTAAAAATTTTGTTAAGTTTTAATTTTCGGAAATCGAATTTGTAATTGTAAATTCTTAATTTATATGTCTATGATGCAATGTAATATTTACGCGGTAACACTATTTACATTAGACAGAGCACCTTTTTATTGAGTTCTTTTAATACAGTAGAAACTGAGTTCTTTTAATATATGTAACTGCAGTTATACCTCTCATGTGAAGTAACTACGTATCTTCTAAATGTTAGTACCTTTTTTAAGAATTTTTATTATTTATATTATAATTATTTATTTTAATTAACCCCCAGTAGGTATATTTAATTTAGTTTTAAATTTTAGTCTATTAATAGTCTATTAACAAACACATAGACTCTATAGAAATACATTTAATTATTTGCGGATAACAGAAACGAAGTAACGTCCCAAAGTATCTTAATAGTTTTCCAGGTTATATTGCGAATATAACATTTAATATTTCGAATGAATTCAATAACGTTTTATTATGCTCTTTCGAAATATTTCAAATCTTAGATTTAATAATATTAATCCATAAAAAAATATTATCCTTATAAATCAGAAAAAAAAATTTCAAAAATTTCCAATTCAATTTTCTTTTTTAACGTTCTCCTAAATATATGCAATATTATTGTAAAGTAAGCAATTCCTGTTTTTTTTTTTCATAAAGTTTATTGGGTATTTTAACTGTCAAATTCTACTACTTTCCTTTATTTTAAATCTATTACATTCTTGAAAAAATAAATGTCAAAGTCTTTTTTTTTTCTCTTTTTCTTTCAGCAAGAAAAAAATGAAAGAACATTAAAATGCTTTTGACATTTAAATGGTGTGTTGGTTTTAATTTTGTGTTTTAAATCAAAAATTTTGCAAATTATTTTTATAGATTATATATATTTTTGCAATATTACATCCCACATAAGAAAAATATATATATGCAAAGTGAAAAATACAAAAAATTGATTTGGAAATAATTTAAAAAAACACAAAAGTGACAAGTGATTTTTTTTTTATTTTACAATTCTTTTTATTTTTGTGCATCTAAGAAAAAGTGAATATCGTAAATAAAAATGTCTACGGTAAAAATAATTGCGGGTGAAAAAGATTTAGAAAAATATTTTAAATTTTTAACATTTAAAATGGTTCAAGTTATTGTTCAAAGCCGTTTAGGTGAAGTTATTAAAACACCATCGAATCCAAATGGTGGAGGCAATGACTGGGTAATTTAAAATGATTACATATTTAGATATAAAACAATAAAATTTTGTTATCTTTGTTTTTTTAGTTACTATAAGAATGTTTTTTTGAAAATCTTACATAAAAATGCAATTGTATATTGAAAATTGCTAATGTTAAAATAATTATTGAATGAAATTTTAAAATAAGAAGAATAAAATCAGAAATTTTAATGCGCATAATCAATAAAGGCGTGAACAATTCGGATGCAATCTAAAAGATGAAGATAAGATGATTTTTTCTGCATTACATCTCCCAGTTTACTACTCTTAAAAGATGAATCTTTTCAATTGATTAGTTCATATTTTTAATTATTAATTTTCGATTTTTAAAATATTTGCATATTCAATCATGAATTTCAGTTTTGGATACGTTATTATGAAACACAGGTGTCCTCAAAAAAAAGAATCATTGCTTGACCTTTAATTTTTTCAATATCTACCTTGAACAGCTCTTAAACCCACAGCTCTTTAAATTTTCTCTAAAAAATTTTGAAAATTTTTTCAATTTTTTTGTTTTTTAATGTTTTTTTTTTTTTGCATTATGAATGATTGCATAAAATATTTCATCGATTTTATATTTTAATGTTCTTCTTATTTTTATATATGGATGCATACATATACAAAGTATGTACATACCAAAGTATCTATCTCTGACTACTAGTGACAGTAAAATTAACGATATTTTTTGCGTTTTTAAATAAAATTTTGTATAATGGTTACGTCGGTATTGCTTGCTCTTATATCGTAAGAATGCAGACAGGTCCCTACTTATTTTGTTATTTTTTTCTTATAATATTAACATTGTATTCATATATATATTTATATTATAAATATGCTTATAAGTAATTTTATTTACTTACCAATTTAACCTTGTAGAATTTTAATATTTCATTATTTACTCATATATGTACATTTATATGTACTTACATATATAAAACAAGTCCTTGAAGGGCTATTATTTTTGAATCATTTACTTGATATTATGCAAAAATAAAATTTATTTAGAAATACGTATTTTAAATTTATAATGACCGGCTTTTAATATTACAAATAAATACACGTATGTATGTATGTATATACATAAATAGCTATGTTGGTACCTACCTACCTACTTATTGGGGTCTACTTACATATTAATCTACAAATGAATATTTATAAATTTAAAATTTTAATTTTAAGGCAAGTAATTTCTTGAAATTATTGCGGAAATATTAAAATATGTAAAATTTTGCAAAATATTTTCGCACTAGTCATGTTTGAATCGATTTTAATGATAAATGTCATCATAATATGTATATGACATAAGTGTTCGTTTAAGTATACGTATGTATATCATGTTCTATAGAATACCAGTATTGTAGATACATATATGTAGATAAAAAAAATGTACGTACATATTTGAAAAACCACGTGGAATTTTAAAATGAAAACTGTCATCAGGCCATTACTACATATACAGAAAATTTAGTATACCAGACTTACCAAAGTATACCTATAATACATTATAAATATAAAAGTATAATATGTACGGTGTGCACATGTGTATAAATTTACGGTTAGGTAGTTATATTTGTGTATGTAAATTAGTGAAAAAAAAAAATTCATTTATTTCTGCCGCATACTTTCTTTTGAATAAAATCAATAATTAATAAAATTATAAATAAGAATAAATTAAATTTTACTAGACTTGGAATTTTAATTTATTTAGGTATTATTAAAATATTATTAGTAGGTAATTGTGACGTTCTAAAATTTTTATATATTCAACTACAAGATTTTTGAATTAGTGATAAGTGCGTGACTGTTTTTTGTGTTCGATCATGTGCGACAACATTTTATTTCAATAGATTTGAGAAGTCTCATGATTATTTTTAAAATTAAATTATATTTTGTCAGTGTAAAACTATGAAGAAGATTCAGTAAGTAATATTAAAAGATTAACCTTGCAAATAAATATTGATCAATAAATTAATTAATTAATTAAGAAATTCAAAGTCGAGGAAACGAAGATTAAATTTGTTAAAACAAAAAAAAAATAAGATCGCATGAATTTTATTAACATAAATTAAGTGTTAATAAAAAAACAGAGAGGAAAGAAAACCAATTTCTGGTTATTTTACTCAATTTAATAAATTAAATAATTTTATTCATATTATAGTAAATGTATGTGCATTAAATTTAGGTTAATCATTAATATTTTTAATATAGGTATCACAAATTAATTTCTATGAGTGTACCTACCGAAACATTCAAATAATTCTTTTAATATTTCTTATGCTCACTAGTTTAAAATCAGATTATTTTCAATTTTATATTCATAAATAAATTTCTCTTACATAATTCCTCCGATTGAATATTTAAATAGCTTCAATCGCTTCAAATTTATCATTGTATAATAAATAATCATGTCAACATTATCATTTTCTAATAAAAGCTTTTATATGTAAATCTAATTTACATTAAAATTTATTGCAAGTAGGCAAATAGATAGGTAAGTACCTACATACATACTTACTTTACATATTCCTAACTATTTTCCAAATACAGGTGTTTCATATCAAAATCAATAAGATAAAAATATTTAAAAACGTTTTAGTCCAAATATAAATTTAATCATGCTCAATCAATAAATAATAAGCGACGACATAATTTACAAAATAATTAAATGTATTTTTAGAGACCATATTAAATTGATAAGTTGATTATAGTTGATTATTGAAATTCTTAGAAAATGTAAACAAGTGCATATCAAATTATTTATACCATAAATAAATTTATGAATATTATTTAGAATAATTTATTTATATTTAGATTTATTTTTACGCAGTTAGGACGTACATCTATTCGAAAGTGCCTATATATTTATAAAAATTTATTGGCTGTCTCTTTATCACCTCTACCAAAAAATTTTAATCTAATAATAATAGTAGTTGGTTAAGGTAATTTGAAAAAAAAAACTATTCTTACCTTAATACTTCAAATATAATTTTATTTGAAAATAAATTCGTCCTTAATTTCTTAAGGAAATGAAAAATAAACTAAATAAATAAATTGAAATATTAGTGTTAAGGATATTTGGAATAATTTATTTAAGTACCTTTGTTTTTCCGTACATATTTATTTTAAGTATGCATAGAAAGAGATAGATAGATATATAAGTGCATGGAGTCTAAATTTAGTCTAAATTTAATTCATTTTATCACGAAACAATAAAAGAAAATTTGGACAATTTTTTTTATTTTAAAAAAGTCCTTGGCTTATTTTAGTTACTTGTCTTTTCTCGTTTTTTGAAACAACAAGACAAAATTTATGTTCTCCTTGCATTTTATCACACGTTAACTCATGACAATTTTTTGTGTTTTTTTTTTTTTGTTCAAATAACAAAATTGGTATATTTTGTCTTTGAACAATTTTTTTTGCAATTTGTGCATATTGAATTCAAAAAGCAATATAAACGGTAATGGTACATTTAATTTGTGTAATATCGTAAAACTAAGCTTTCTAAGATTGAAAATACATAAATGAAAGTTGGAATTATTTCTGATAGAACTCGCCTAACTAGGAAATCGATTCTAATTCGATATTTTAAAATATTCTCTTAAAAGTAAGCATTCAATTTTAAAGAGATATCAGAAAATTTTGAATTCTAGAATTGTATTTGCGCCGTAATACATATATAGAAATTATATATGTACATATCTTTCAATTTTATATAAAATATGAGGTTCAAATTAACTAGGTACCTACTAATGAGTTTAATTCACTAATTTTCAAATATATTGCTCAATAGTTTTTAAACTAAATACATAAGATTATAAACTATTCGGCAATCAGATTTAACATAAATTTTATTACCATAATGTTTTCTTTAATGAAATGATAAAAAAAATTTTTATGGAACTAGCTATTTATTGATAATTAAAATTGAAATTTAATTTTTTTAAAATAATTTTTTGTTTTTTTGATAAATGCCTGGAATACAATAAAAATTTTGAAAATTTACGCCATGGAAGCATAAAATTTATTATCGTATTAATCATAAGTGCTACTTATTAATTTTAAAAAATAGTGCAATAAAATTGATTAGATCTTTATTAACTAAAAATAACACACAAAGAACATAAGAAATGTACGGAACTTTTATGAGCAAACTTTGATAATAATTACATATCTACAATTTATTAAAAAATTGTGTCATAAAGACATCTAAGGCGTTAAATTAGAAGGGTATGTGTGATAAAATTATATTAATTTTAAAATTTTATTATTTAAATTATAAGTAGCTGAATCGATTGTTACTAAAACACGCAATTTTTATGCTTAATGATCTTTAACACTAACACTGTAATTTATGCTGGTTTGATCTTGTGTTGTTTGTGAATTTAAATGATCAATTGATTCAAAATATTGACTCTTTACTTAGTCAATTTGTCCAATTCTTCATTGTTAGCATGGCCCCATTTGAATACTTAGTCAAATTTAGTAAGTCAATTCAGTAAATTGTCAAATTAATCAGCTGTCTGAGATTTAGAAAATTTTTGCATACACATTTAATTGTCGTGTCCAAAATATAATCGAACCAAATTCCTTACTTAAATTATTTAAGTATTAAAGTAAAAAAATTTCAATCCAATTTTATTTTATCAATTGTTTTTATCAATTGTTCCAAGGCATAGTTAGGTATTCGAAAAAATTTCTTTCTTTCTTCATAAATTAACATTGAAAACTAAAACAATTTATTAGAAAAGACAAAAATTTTACACACTCTTAATGATACTTAATTCAATGAAAATCAATGAAAATTTTTTTCATTAAACCACGATTGACAGTTCTCTTTTAGTGCATAAAATTTATTGTACACATAACCTCAAAAACAACTCTTTCAGAATTAAATCTAAATATGTAATTAAATTTTAATTTTTTTTTTTTCTAAAATTGCATTAAAATCACAAATTTAAAATTAAACACGTTTAAAAATAAAT